TTCGCTTACCACTTTTCTCTTACATCTACCTATTCCATCTCGACTTTCAGTAGAAAAGATCTAAATATAAATAATATTTTTGATATATGTACTTTTCGAATCTCCCAGTTAAAATATTTCTAGTATAGCACCCGCGCGATGCACGGTGGGTGAATGTTGTTTTAAAGCCTAATATGGATGTTTTTACATCTTAAGAGTGCATGTCAAAGTTAAAATGGTACATGATATGACTATGTCAGAGTAAAATATGGTTATTATACCCATAATTTGATTATGGGTATAAGAACTATTTAATGCCTATGCAAAATTATGATATGCTTTTTGTTGTTGTTGACAAATTAGAGTTAAATTCAAATCATAACACATAGAGTAAAATCAAGATTACATGTTATGAAAATGTCTTTGAACGAAGACAACTTTCAAGGTCTCATCTCACATTTTGTAATAATCGTTATGACAAAGTATTATGAGAACGTCACAATTTGAAATCTTGTATATTTTTTCATAGTTTGACATTGACTATGACTTTTATTAATGATCATTTAATGATCGGTGCATTAAAAGTCATTATTAGAGATTGCTGCTTTCGAAATAAAAAATGAAGTATGACATCGAAGGTTCTCAAAGACCGGGCATAAGAGATCTGTTAAAGGTGTGCTTCCTACAGTTTTAAGTTCATTGATTCGAAGATGTGGACAGAGATTCCGCTGAAATTTAGAAACGGCCTAATCAAGGCACTGCTGACAGACAAATGCTTCTCAAAATTATTCCTCGTACTTTAGAAGTTCTGTAAATCCATTGTAATTTATGCAATTGATGATATTTTACTTTTTTAATGCTCATCGTTTTACTATTTTTTCATATTCCATTGATGGGTTCTTATGCATAGTTTAAACAGATGCTTGGAGAACAAAAACTGGAATGCTGCGATTTGGATAAAATGCATCCTAATCTGACTATATTATACGGAGTACTCCTTAATGTTCGAAAGCTAAAGTGTTGACTCAAAATCAATGATTTGTTTGAAATGGCTAAACTCTACCTAATCTGCCTAACCTGCCTAATCATCATAATCTTAATTACTGGCGTATTCACCAATAATTAAAATCTCTAGTATGAAATTACAAACAAATAACCTCCACATTTTTTAATCATTACTACTACATAATCATTACATATAAAGTATAAACTCATGAGTTCAAATAAATAATTTTCAAGGATTAGCTAAACTCTAGCTATTCTCCCTGTTTTCTCTTATACTCCCTCTGTCCCTAAAAGGATTGCCAAGTTTGACCGGCACGTAGAATAATAAAGTAAAAACTGTGTGGTAGAGATTTGTGCATAGGAGAGAGAAATAACAGGAACCACACATTGATTGACTAAAAGGGAAAGTGACAAAGTTTTTGGGACAACCAAAAAAGGAAAGTTGGCAAAGTTATAAGGGACGGAGGGAGTAATATAGTTTCCCGAAAATGAAAGCAATGATTTCTCGAGCATAACTAAAATCTGCCCAAGCTTTATAACTTAAAATCTTATAAATTAATCTCCTGAAATGAAACCAAGGAATTGTTGGTCTTTGCTAAACTCCATCAGTTTGCCTAGTTTTTCTTCTCTATACTACTCTGCATATACTCGAGTATTAAAAAATCTAGGTGGTTTATGCTCTAGAAAACTTTTTTGAATTTCCTAACACTAACTAACTTAGTGATTATCTTTCTAAAATGACACATATATCATCTTAAACATATCTTACTGAAATGGCTAAACCCTGCATTGATGAATAGTCTACCCGGGGGTATATATCCGAAGGGTTACTACGGGGAGTAACTTAGAGAGAAGTCAGAGCAAGTAAGTAAGAGAGAGAGTGTATATTCGGTATGTATTAAGCGTGGTTACAAATGGGGAAATGGGGTGCTATTTATAGTAGCAATAAATGCCGGGCAGGGACACGTGTCAAGCGCTCATTGGCCGAGGGGTCACCTCAACTGGTTGGCGCTGGCAGCCGCATGTGGCCGCATTTAATGCGGCTGTTGGATGGGACGTCTGTGCGGGGTACGGTGATCTGTACGCATGTGAGGCAGATATCTTGTCGAGTAAGGTGCCTTCGGCCATAGAGCAGTAGCCGAGGGCTCTTCCTCCCGATGGCACCCCTGGTGCCGAGGGCTCACAGTGCCGAGGGCTACTGTTTTCGCCGTTTTCTCCCAGTTTCTTAGTTTGCTTGAGAAACCCGCTCTGTGATAATTTGGAGCCTTCGGCCAGGGGGCCGAAGGCACCCCTGTGCGTTGTGCGGACTGCTTGGTACTCTGGGCGCTGTGATTTGGGCCTGTTGGGCCTGTTGGGCCTTTGGTGGAGTAGTAGGAGTCTGTGGGCCGGGGGTTCCCGGGCCATATACTCCATCATGCATAATCTGCCTAACTTGTCTCCATGATCTGACTTACTGGCTAAAGTCACATGTTTTTGTTAGTGGTGAGTTAGCTTTTAGGAGCTAATACACTGAGTATATCTATGATAATTCTGGTAGATGTGAAATTGAATCAAATGCATCTCTTTAGGTCATCTTAAGTCAAGTCTTTTTAATCACTCATATAAAATTGTCATTGTGTACTTATCTTATAGTGAACTTAATCAGCTTCTATACTTCACAGAGTAGTTGTAAATAGAAATCACTACCTCTTGATTTATATAGATATTTTTGTATCTTCTGGTTTGATCAACGTTTCATGGTGGTTGCAGCTTGGAGCAATCCAGTAATGCAGATCTTTGTGTAACCTATATTGGAAAGACAAAAACCTTGAAGTTCCGAGTCAGGTGCAAAATCAAGCTCTGCCTCATTTTCCTTATTCAAAATTTAAAGAGAACTCAAATATTGGATGTCTATACTAACATTTTCACCTTCTAACCAGGAAACATAGATTCAAATGATGTTGGTGATTGTAAATACTGAAAGCTTGAAACTCAATTGGCATATTTTATTAGAGCTGATAATTGAAACTCATTTATGTATGTACTTGTGAAATGTATGTCTATTTTGTGTCTATATGTATAGACACATCCCTGCATGTTTAAACTTTTTGTTGAGATTTCTTTTATGATTGCATTTACAAAACATTTAATACATGAATAGATCTAAGCCTAAAATAATCATTTATTTTGTATAATGTTGATGACCTCTTTATCATAATTTTGGTTGTGTAAATGGGACTGAAGTAAAATGCCTTCAATTGTTTGATACAAAGTTGCAAGCGGAAGAGTAAACCGTACATCAATGTGCAATTGTGATTTAAAGGTACATTAAATAGCCAAAGTGGTGCAATTGTGATTTAAAGGTACATTAAATAGCCAAAGTGGTGCAAAAGGATTAATGATATGACAAAATAAAAGCAACTATTCTTGATGCACACACCTTTGTACACACCTTATACACACCATGTTTGTGAAGCTTTTTTTTGTTTGTGAATCCGGTTCACAGACAATATTTTGCACAAACAAAATATTGTCTGTGAATCGATGTTCACAGACAAAAAAAACAGCTTTCACAAACATAGGTGTATACAAAAATGTGTATAAGAGTATGTACAAACGTCATTTTTTGAAATAAAAGCCACCTCATCGATGTCATTGGCTCTTCCTGTCTACATTATCTTCCTCGCCTCCCCTGACTCCTGTAGTCAACTGTTCTCTTCAAGCCGGACACATCAGGTTCTCGTTTACGCGGATCCTCTTCCTCTCGTTGGTCTTCAACAGCTTCATGGTTCCTCGCTGCGAAACCCTCCGCTCAATTTTCTCCACCTCACGCCGGGGCGCCGGGGGATACGATGCGATTCATGCTTCACCTCACCAGAAACCGGCGAAAAGCTCCTTGGATCTTCAACACGGAAGCGGATTAGGCGGAGAGGGACCCGACAAATCGAACTGGGATCTGAATGACCTTCGGCTTCAGCGCAACCTCGACATGCTTGTTCTGAACCTCATGGACGGGGTAGCTGCTCGCAGCCGGCGTATAGCCTTTGAGAGATGAATGGGGGAAGTAGTTTCAGAACGGGGTAAGATCTCACCATTGATGAATTTTGCTTTTGAGCTATTGGAGCTCACTGTAATCCGTTTACCACCCATGGGGGAGTACCTTCTCAGAGCTCTTATGGTGCAAGGAAGAGAACAAGCAGGTTTCTTTACGTTCTGGGAAGGAATTTTTATCAAAAAGGGCCCATAATAAAATGACAGTCAGAACTTAAAAATGACTGTATTGCGATTTCGAAAAATGGCTCTTGGTCTCACAACCAGTTGCGATTTTCGAAAAACACCAACTGGCCAGCCGACTTCCTGCACTCCATCCACTTCCTTCCCACTACCAGTTGAAATTGTTCCTTGAAATCGATTTCTACATAGCACCTTGTTTAGGGCACAAGCATTCTTCGATTTCGCACAAGTATTCTTCGATTTCTTCATCCTCCTTCAAGAACCATGAAGTGCGAATCTCCTACGATTCCTCTGGTGAAAACCCAAGCACGACGGAAACTTGTGAAAGCATCGGAAATGATGGAAGCCGCAGATGAACCCGCTATTCAGGTAAATGTTAGATTATTTATGCTTGAGAGCGATACTTGGTTCTTTGGAAAGATATTTTATTGACGATCTCTAAGGAACAAGAGTTTTGCTCCTATTTCCATTCATAGTTCCAGCCACATTGGTTTCTTTGGCCATTTGTCAGAGGACGACAAATTTCTCTCTAATTATGGATCCTGAACATTATCATGTATCATAATTTAGTTCACAATGACATTCCACTCATTGGGCTTGGTTAGTCACTGATTTATGAGTGCATATAACAACATTTTTATTTTGGTTTAGACTAACATTTACCTGATGATGATGATGATGATGATGACGATGATGATGATAATAATAATAATAATAATAATAAGTGATACACAAAGTGAAAGTGGATCAAGCGTGGATAAGATCTAGCTACTTTTGTAGTATATTTGCTAAAATAAGAAGAAAAAATTATATTAAATCTCTTTTTACAAAACATCAAATGGAAAACAAAATAATGAGAAGTACATTCATGTAGTGTCCTGCATACAGAGACACAATAGTACTGCTAAGCTATGCCACTAATGCTCAAATGAACTCTGTTGCATTGTTCTATCTTTTTTGGAAGTTAAACACCTTAATCGCATACGCAAAGGTGACAGCAAACATAGTAGGGAATGCAATCATCACTGCTGCAATCACTCCCAAGAAACTATGCTTAAACCCAAAGTTAGAATCCAAGAAATTCTTCACAGACAAGTTGCCTGCATCAACCACTATATCCTCGAGGTCTCCAAATTGGGATGCAATCAATCCGTACAAAGTCCACGAAACTGGGCATGCCCAGAAGTACCATCTCCACCAGATAGGCATCCTCTGAATATCACCCAATTAATTAAATGAAATCACATTCAGTTTTGTTATGAGGTGCAAATAAATAATCGACATGAAAAATGAAGTGTTATTCGAACACAAATTACCCTAAAAAGGAGTAAAACATAGGTGTTTTCCAAGACTACTACCGAGTAAGTTTTTTCCTTGAATAAAAGAAAAGTTCTAACATCTTAAGATCATTCATACAGTCATGTGGAAGTATCACCTTAGTATGACAGTATAGTAGTTTAGAATGACAAACTTTTATCATATTCATAGAAAAAGTATCATATTCCTATTTAGAGAAAACAAAGTTTTATTCCCATTAAGGGTAATAACTTTTATTCAAATGTGTGGCGAACTCACCGGTCTTGGAACTATGAATCCTGAGAAGAGATTCCAAACTCCATAAAAGAAAGCAGAGACAATGGATGCCACATTTTGGTTGGGAGTGATGGCCACAGACATCATCCCATAGTAGGTGAAGTATAACAACGTGAAAAACATCATGAACAAGTACCAGAAGAATTTTCCCGCATTCCATTCAAACCCAATCATTGCATAAACAACCAAGCCATATACAGAAGATTGCATAAATACGTAGGGGATTTCAATAGCCACCTGCAAACAAAAAAATTTAAGTGGTTTTCGGGTGATGCAATATCTTAGGTTGGATGGTAAAGTTTTAAATAATTAATGTTCTATACTAAAAGCTCAACTAAGATAAAGTGAAACAGGAAATGGGAAACAATAGATACTGCTTTTTAAAAAAATAGGAAACAGAACACGGGAGAAAATATCTATAAGTAAATTTTCCTTGTATGTGCACAATGTTTTTTCATGTAAGCCTTGCTGCATAGAACCAAAGATAAAAGTAGTCTACATATTGAGATGTAGACTTTGTTCACATATTAGTACATAGTTGAAAGTATAAAATATATTTCTAGCAAAGCGTTGCGCTATAAAATGTATAAAACTATCATACTTTAGATAAATCCCAAAAAAACTAATTCTCATCAAGAAAGGAAAAACAGTGAAACCCAACATTCTGAAGAGCCAAGTAGTTATGGAAATAGGTTTTCCAATTTGTAAGTATACATATGACATGGAATGTTGGAAACGAGATCTGAAGTTTCAGAAATCCGAATTTTGCGTAGTTTATATGCGCCTTAGAGGTCAACCCAGAAGGAGTAAGATCTTTAATGAATTATGAATGTTTTTTATATTTATGTATTTGGCTAACGTGAAATATCTTAGTAAAAACAATATAGAGCTAAATATTTCTACTCACTTGTGCAAAGGCATATGGTAGGGCAGAAAACATTCCAGCAGCCTTCTCCCTATAGAAGACAGTACGTTCGACTGATACCACGGGCTGAACTGATGAAGAGTTTTGCACACCGAGGAATAACACCGCAGAATACATGGATCCCATGGCATTCATCAGATCTTGTCTCCGTTTAGTTTTGGTACCCAGGTTCCAAAATATGGTTCCGAATGTAACGGCTATAAGTGTTGTGAAGAGAAACCTCACTGCGGTGTAAGATGTGTTGCGCCGGTACGACAAGTGTTGCTTCCAGAGGCAAGCCATACACTGGCTCCAGAAACTTTGGGAGAACTGAGTAGGGAAGTACAAGTCATTGCTCCCTGGGAGAGGTGTACTTAGCTCTAAAATCAATGATTTATTGCTCTTAAATAAGTCCGAGTTATTGTACACCTCAGCAAAATCGACACCAAGCGCTACTTCTTGAGCTGAACTAGTCACTTCCAACATCCAAGTTGCCGGATTGTAGCCACCCTTTATTTTTGAAACGCCATTCATTGACTACATTGAAGAGCGCCACGAGTTAGGCCCTTAACGTACTACAAACATGAAGAAATTAGATATAATTCTTTTTCTTTCATTTTTTGAATCTTACCTCAAAGTATTTGATCAAATGAGATGAATGGTGTCCCAACGGTCCAACATAAATCTCTTGCCCACCTCGTTTCATTAAGAATAACTGCATGATGACATCGGAAAGCAAGTACATATTAAATATATACTTCTTTTGTTGTTTTTTTTATCAATTGCTCTTTATTCTTTTCTCAAAAGTTTTTCGAGTGTTTTCCTATATATTACTGAAGTAGAACTCAAACAAGAATAATGCTACATAATCGCTAGCCGAAAAAAGCGCCATAACTATTGCAATTTAAGATTGACATTAATGAGGTCACTACAGTTAGTGTGTCATTTTCATTTTCATTTACCCCAGTGCCGCAAAGGCTCCCACCTACGGTGGGATAAGGGAGGTCGGATGTACGCAGTCTTACCCCTGTACTAAAGCACAAAGAGACTGTTTCCGGATGACCCATAGTGAAAATCCCGTCCAAAATTGCATGGACTGACAAAAAAGAAGCGCAGACAGTTTAGTGAGCCATTTTGCTTTATTCCATCATAATCTCAAGCCAAAAAATAATCAATCTTTGGCTCCATTGCAAATGATGGAAATACTACAGTTAGTGTGTATTAAAATTAAATTATTGACCAATATTTTTATTATTCATAAATACATAAAGACTCCTACTTTTTGTCTCTCTTTCATAATTTTTTTGGTTTACATTTTCCCCCCTACTATTTATATTTAATAAACCAATAATTTTTCCATAAAACTAATTAATGAAAAACTCATTGGAGAAAATAATAAAAAATAGACCGGAGGGACTATAAAATGGGGAAATTACCTCATCAAAAGCTTCAAAAATGTCAATGCTAGGTTGATGGATGGTGCAAACAACTGTTCTTCCTGTGTCAACAGTGTTCCTCACAGTTCTCATCACAATGGCAGCTGCCCTAGCATCAAGCCCTGAAGTTGGCTCATCCATGAAAATAATAGATGGGTTTGCTACTAACTCAACTGCAATTGTGAGCCTTTTTCGTTGCTCCGTTGAGAGACCATTAACTCCAGGAAGCCCAACAAGGGCATATTTCAATGGGGCTAGTTCAACTAACTCCATTACTTCATCCACAAACATCTACAATATGAAAGACCAACTGTTAATTATTTTTTAGTTTTTTGTAGCATATATTAGCAAAACTTACTATGACCACCTCGAGGTTAGATGTAATTACTGGTTGAACCTTGTATTTTCAATAGTCAATATATTATCTTTGAGCTTTAATTATTGCCAAATACGATGAAGATTGACTGAAATATCCAGTCTTAAAGGTCAAAACGCTTCTCCTTAGTCATTCTAAGCCACTGTTGATGCCTAATATTCTCCCATCTCGTGGAAGAAATGTCTTCGAGAGTAGAAGAGATATAGGAATCATGAGCATGTTTTAAGAAAATGCTTTAGATAAATTTTATTAGATTTGAAATTCAAATGGAGTCAATTTTAATATTACACAAGGGTATGCTGTAAGAATAATTAGAAGCTCAGAGAGTACCTAAATGAACACAACGTTGAACTAACAATGTTAATGTTAGGATAATGGGCTTACGAGAATAATAATAATTAAGTGTGATAGTGTAATAGAGGGTCCTGGGCCTGGTAGTAGTTGGCCTTGACTGGCCCATTAGAAATAGAATAAATAAGGGTGAGTGGTGAGTAGATGGGGGGCAGAACTTGGGATCAGGACTGGGATATTGGGAGTGAGAGACCACTCGAAGAGTCTCAAACCTTTCCTTTCATGACTTTCTGTATTCCTTCACTAAATGTTCATTAATAAACTACTACTTTCTTCTTGGATTCTTCAGTTACTTATCATTGGTATCAAAGCATCCTTCCTGGAGCCTGAATCGATCGTCAGTTTCAACGACAGTTGAAGAAGAAGATGGACAATAGCGACAGTCAGTGGAAGGAGTTGCACTATATGTTGTGCAAACTTCGTCACCGTCAGAGGCGACATAGAGACAGAGCTAGGAGTCCACCTAGACACCGTCGGCCAATCGAAAATCAGGTGTTTCCGTCCGTCGCTCCTCCTAGTTCGCAATCGCGAACTGCTTCGCGTAGTTCGCAGACACCTTCGCTAGCGCAGGTCTCTTCACAGTCGCTAGCTGATTCTACCGGTCCGCAGATGTCTTCGCAAGCCTCTTCAGCTTCGTCGCGAACAGCATCTTCTAGTCAACAAGTTTCTTCGCAAATAGATCTCCCTTGTTCGCAGGTCTCTTCATCTACTATCATCTCGAATCAAAGTGTGAGGCTATCAGAAGGAGACTCCAAATCGCTTCGAAATCCCTATGCGAACCCTAGTATCACTCCAGACAGAGGAGACACCATCAGTTCGCAGACTTCATCCTACCCTAGCAGTCCACTTCAAGGTACGATGCGATTGGAAGGAGAAGCCTCCACGTCGCCGTTGTTGTACGTGTCACAAGAGTCAGGCAATCCGCAGAAAACTCTCTCTGAAGGTACGTTCATCTACTGTAATGAGGGACGCGAGGAAAAATCCTCTGTGATGACTCAATCCTTGGTTGCCAGGGAATATGAATCTGCTGTTGATAAAATTGTTGTTTCAAATACTTGGGAAAGCTCTACAGAGACTGTCGGTGTAGAGGAAACTGAGGAAATGGAAGAGGATGAATCAAAGTCTGAGAAAAAGGAGGACAAAATTGAAATGCAAAATCAAAATAATTCCTCTGAGGGGTTTGATAGTTTGAGCTATATTCACTGCTATAATTCTGATCTTATGAAAGTAGCTAACAATAGTGATGCTGAAAAAGTATTGCACCACTATCATATCACAGAAGACGAAGTAGAGGTCTCTGGTTGTCTTGGTATGGATTATAATCAGCACTTTGGTGGTGGTGTGATGTACTGGAATCATTTTGACCCTATTCAACAGTTCTTAACTATGGGGACCACAGATGGTATGCTGAAAGCAGTTGGAGGGAACAACATGGAAGGTCCTATGGTATGGGAGCTGGAGAACAAACACTTATCTTCTATATTAAAAAGGAAGTCAAACCTACCCACATTCTCTGCTATTTATGGCATTCATTACACGTTTAGGGAGATGAACGATGACGATATTCAACCCACAGGACGTCCACCAGATAATCCGGAAGGGGCAGAAAATGTTGAGGCCGGTGCCAGCTCACTTTCAACTCATGCTTTGCTCGAAGGGACAGTTGCTGAAGCTGCAGAGAAAAATTTCAGGAAATACAGCATAAAGTGGTGGGAAGTTGGGCCAGAGATGCAGTTGCTAGAAGATCTTTACCTCTGCAACATTGTGGAGCAGGATGCAACAAAAGTCCTTGCCTCTGCTCTTTCTTGCTATGCTCTTTCTGGCTATTGAAGGAGTGATGATGAAGGTTCAAATCAGGAAGCTATGGGTCCAGAAAGCAGTGAAGTACTGGGAAGAGAGAGGCGCAAGAATGAAGGTGAACCTAAAGATCAAGGCTGTTTAATATCACCCACCTTGAGGACAAGGTGGTTGTCCAACGGGGGAGATATGTTAGGATAATGGGCTTACGAGAATAATAATAATTAAGTGTGATAGTGTAATAGAGGGTCCTGGGCATGGTAGTAGTTGGCCTTGACTAGCCCATTAGAAATAGAATAAATAAGGGTGAGTGGTGAGTAGATGGGGGGCAGAACTTGGGATCAGGACTGGGATATTGGGAGTGAGAGACCACTCGAAGAGTCTCAAACCTTTCCTTTCATGACTTTCTGTATTCCTTCACTAAATGTTCATTAATAAACTACTACTTTCTTCTTGGATTCTTCAGTTACTTATCAGTTAACCTAACATGAAATGGATAACAAAATTATTTTTTATCTATTATGCTAAAAGAGGGAGTTCATAATGAGAACTTAGTTACTAACCATTCTGGTTTTAGAATCAACGCTATCTGGTAAACGTAGCCATGCTGAGTAGACCAGGGACTCATAAACAGTAACAAAAGGAGAGTGGATGTCATTCTGCTCACAATACCCTGAGATACGGGAAAATGTTTCTTGTTTCTTTTTATAACCAGAAATTTTCATGTCACCTTCTATATATCCACCAGTTTTTCTTCCTGCCAACACATCCATCAAGGTTGTTTTTCCAGCCCCACTAACACCCATCAAAGCTGTAAGAACACCAGGCCTAAAGGCTCCACTTACACCCTTCAACAATACCAATTTATCCTCAGAAGTACCCTGCTCTTTCATTTCCTGGATTTCATTTTAAAAACAATTACCTTTGCACAATCTTGTATGAGAAAGAAAAAGTATGACTTCAAAAAACATATCTATTTTTTAATACCTGTGGCATGTCAACAGAGTATACAACATTGTCAAACGTCAACGAATATGGTTCAAATGGAAGGACCATTCCCCTTTTCTTAGTCTCAGTAACTCCATTAGCAGTGGTTTGGTCCAAAGAGTTTGATGAGTTTAGAGTACTCATCTCTCCGCTTTCATCAGCTTCGGCTACATTGGCTTGAGGTTTACCATATGCTGCAAATATTATTGTTTATTCGCATTTGAAAATTAAAGAACAGTACTTTTAAGAAAAATGACTTGTATGAATTGGGTACCCACGATTAAGATACTGGAGCCCTAACATGTAACATATGTTGAAAATGATTGTGTATCCAACAAGTGCTCCCAGACCAATCCAATACCATTTTGCTTCAGCGAAAAATCCTCTGGATTCCATGACAACATCTCCAAGTATTCCTGTGCTAGACGTTGCATTCTGTAGAAATGAAAAGTTACTTAATATCTTGTATACAATAAAATTATTGTAATTAAGTGTTCTTATCAGATGTTTACTAGATCTATATCTAATCAAGTACTCCCTCCGTTCCCAAAAATACTTCTCACTTTCCTTTTTGGGCTGTTCCCAAAAATACTTCCCACTTTCCCATTTTGGACAATTTGTGTGACTCACATTCATTTTACCTTTTTCTTACACAACCACAACCATACATTTCCACTTTATTCCACTTTCTTAATAAGCGTGCCAAGTCAAACCGGGAAGAATTTTTAGGAACGGAGGGAGTATATGAGTAGGTGAATCTCACTTTTTAAGAATCTTTTGGGCTGATTTAGACCCGATTTATTATGATATCAGAGTTAATTAAGCTCTAACTAGCAATTAAACTAATTTAGGTGTAAACACCGGCTAAATATGAAGATGTAAACTCACATAGAAGCTATTATTAAATACTCTTAATTTTCCTTTTAGGATTTAATCTTTTAGCTAACTCAACACAAAGTCTTATTAGTCCATCACTCACTACTTTATTTTGTGATGCTACTCTAAGAAGTTGTATTGTCATGAGGTGCATGAATACAAGATCACTTACTTTTCTCCAGCTGTGCCCCTTAAATTCATTCACAAGGATTGCATTCTGAGAATACATTAATGGGGAAGAACAGTACATCCAAATCCACCACTTCTTCACATCCTCTAGAACAACGAAACATAAGAACTTGTCAGTATACTTAATTAGAATATGATTGACAAATATATCATGGAAGTACTCTATGTCTGAAACATATGGATATGTACCTCGTGCAAGGATAAAACCTCCTAGAGCAACTTGGAGAAGAACTGCAAAGGATCCAAATGTCATTGCAACTCCCATAGTTCTAGCAACGGATGAAATAAATCGGAACAATGCTGAAGCCATCTGGTTTACCATCACTAGTAGCAAGAATTGTTTGAACAATCTGTAGCAAAATATCAACAAAAATTATTTCCATTGTTGTAATGTGTGATACATGTGCTTACCAAATATGTGTCTTATATATACATTAATTCTCATATGTTGATGAGTCTTTTTGGGTGAGTTAGACTCAATTTAAAATAGTATGAAGTGTGATTTGTTTGGCTCATTTGTCCACCTTTCTAGTTATAACAGATCATTAGTATCTCTTGAGCCTCGTTTGGGGTGAGGTAGACTCAACTTAATGCCTCGAACAAGACTAAGTTATGAAAGTTATACCTGCCGACTTTAGGATCAAATCCAATGACATAATAAGTGAGAAACACCCAGACACTGACTTCTATAAACGTAATGGGAACTTTAAGAATCCAGGAAGGAAGAGCATATGCCCAGGGAGGAAAAAATAGGAGGTCCCTCTGCTTGTAGAACACAGGTAACTTGAAAATTGTCATGGGAGTCTCAGACATGCCATTAAACATAATCATAATCACACCAAAGAATAGGGCACCACTATATATCCCTCCATCAGTCTCATTGTCTTTGCTCATCTTAGTACGGAAAAACATGGTCATTGTAATCAAAGCCATCACCATCAGCTGGGTTGAATCAAAAAAGACATGAAGGATCTATATGGGAATAAATGTCAATGGATATGTGGCTTAAAAGGATTAAAAGGATCAATGTACATACCTGGAAGAATTTGAAGTTGTAAGCGAATGAATTTCTCTTCATGAGCAAAAACTCTCTCTGTGTGCATACTTTTAGGAGTTGTCGCTTTCCTATGCCATACATTTGAGTCGTCAAGGCGGCCGGATGGCTTTTGCTCTTGTCAAATGGGACTGACAGTTCCTCTGCCACTTCCCTTCCAACATTGAAGGATTGATATGCCTCTGCAAATTCCTTTGATGTAATGAACCTGTAAGGTTCATCTCTGAGCATCCAATATTGGTGTTGATCCTTTTTTGATGTGACCTACAGATGATCAAATTCACATTTTATATAAAAAAAAAAACTTTTTTGTATAGATGAAGTATAACACTTGTTAATTAATACCATCAGTATACGGCTCAAAAACAGTAGAACGGTTCAACCCAATACCATTATGGAAAAATTGCATAAAAGTGCCTTAGTACAAAAAAAATAGGAAAAATTTGACTTTGCAACCCATGTTTTGGGTGATATTTGACTTTGCACACCATTTTCAAAATCATTAATGTATGTATCCCAATTCCCTATAAAATCATTTGATTTTGCACCCCACTCCTTCATAATTTGATTTTAAAAATGGAATGCAAAGTCAAATATTACCCAAAACATGGGGTACAAATTCAAATTCTCCCTAAAAAATACTATCTCCTTCCAAAAACAATCTCTCACTCTCCTTATTTGGATGTCCAAAATAAATATCTCATAAACATCTCATTTCCATAAAAAGAAAACTTTCAACAACAAATGTCACAACTGGCCCTTATCTTTTATTTGATTTCACATAAAAATAGTAGTAATTAAAAATACAAAAGACAACTTTATCTTGTGTAAATATATGTGTAGATTAAACTGGAAAGTTTCAAGGATAGAGGAGTATAATTCTTTAAATAAGACCTTAAGTGTTTTTTCCTATAAAATATGGATCATTTACCTCAAAAAATCAATGTAAATAATTAAATACTACATCTGTCCCTTAAAAATCTTTGTCATCTCGTAAAATTTGGACCATGATTTTGAATTTTGATTAGTATAACATCATAGAAGTTATAAATTTTATACTTTAATGAAACTACTTTAAGCAACAAACATTATTGTATCATTTTTATATTATAAATAATTTTAATAAATAATTTTTGTATCATTTTTATATGCTTTTAATCAATGCAAATATAGTACGTAGTATATTTGATTTTATATCTCTGCAATTTTTGTTTTGTTTTTCATCCCCGAAATGTATGTTAATTTTCTTTTATATCATAAATTATGATAACAACCTCCGTTTGACAAAGAAATAACCTTGACTAATAGGATTCCTTTAATTCTTTGTCATGTTATTATAGAAGTATTTAATTTTATTTTTTAGAAGATTTTTAGTACATATTATAACAATGCTAATCATTAGTTTTAAATTGTTAGAACTCTCATGTTAGTCTCAAAAAACTATAGAAGGATAAATTTAAATATTTGTATTAGATTTATGTAACTGAAAATGACTTTTTGTCCAACTAGAGTGATTACGGCGTTAGAGATAAACTACATACAAAATAGTACATATTACAAAAAAAAATTGTAGGGACCTAAACCAAAGCGTATCATATTTGTAGAGATTACAAACATTTTTAAGCCTTAATAAAATTATATAATTGGTCAAAGTTTGAAAGATGTCAAAATATTAATGAACTAAAAACACTGCACAAAAGTATACATAAAAGAGGAAGTGTTTTTCAACCATTTATTTAATTGACCCCGATCATTTTTTTAATGCATTTTTTTTAATGCATTTACTTTATGAATATTACTCCATAAAGTAATCTCAATCTTTTTGACACAAAGTTTAAGCAAATTGGATGATTTAAAATAGTTCAATAATAGTCTATGTTGATTTAAAGATATGTGGAATTAGAATTCACTCACCTCTTGCAAGAAATCAGCAACGCCTTTCCTGTCAGGGCACTGGAACCCCATGGATTCAAAGAAATCGATCACAGTTTCCCGAGGGCCGTTGTAAACAACGTAGCCATCGGACAACAGGATGATATCGTCGAACAGGTTATAGGTCTCAGGGGCCGGCTGGAGCAGCGAAATGACGGTGGTGCCCTTGAGAATGTGGACGTATTGCTTGAGCGAGTTCACGATGGAATAGGTTGTGGAGCTGTCCAGTCCGGTGGATATTTCGTCCATGAAGAGAGCCTTTGCTGGCCCGACGATCATTTCGCCGGTCGTCACTCGCTTCTTCTGTCCGCCGGATATCCCTCTCAGCATTTCGTCTCCCACCATCGTATCTGCACATATGTCCAGTCCCAGAATCTGCCAGCCATCGCAAACAGATAAAATCAAACTACATTAGTCTCTTTATTTTCTATCAGTTTCCCTCATCGATCTGCACAAATTATTAATAGCTTTTATTTCTGTTCTCTTGTTCATCCATCCAAATGCTTACCTTGAGAATGTAATCGGTGACAACATTGGCTTCTTGCCCTTCTGTTGCTGCTGCCTGCAATTTAATCGATCAGAAGCTAGAATAGAAAGAGCAAAGCTAATCGATTGGAAAAGTTCTCTATTAAAATTATATGGCAGTATTAGTGCTGGCAATATGTTTATAGTACTTATTCCTATTGTGTTGTGTTATACATTGGGTTGATTTAGCATTACTATAATATTGAATATCTATACACAGAGGTCTGTTCCCTCGAGTAGGTGTAGCTTTGTGTCTACCTAGGGTTCAGGTTTTAGTGAAGGAGTTGTCTCCGATTGTTGTTATGATCGGCGAGAAGACTGGTCATATTGGAGTCTGGCCGTCTGGGTGTGGTATTACTCCTCTGGGAAGTTTGTCCCAAAACTTTTTCGATCAAAGTTTTGAGGTTAGTTTTCATCGTGCTGGAGTTTCATTGCCTGTTTTTCATCGTCTTGAATCATTCATGACTCATGATCTCTGTGGCATTGGTTTTCCACTGGCTTGCAATCATATTATTATGTTTTGAGTTTTCAGTTGATTGCTTTGTAGTCTCCATGGCTTTATGGTCTAAGGCATGTGGGAAGTTCTCAAATGAGGACTACAGTGGAAGGAGATGGCTAGGAAGAGATCTTAGGATTGCTAGTGAGCAAAAACAGAGCCACGGAGGTGCTTAGTGATGGATGAGGAGCGGTTGAAATGTCGTATACGACCGTTTAGAGTGTGATAATGTGAAGTAAAAAACAAGGTGGAAGCGGGCGTGGTGAGCAAGGCCAGACTGGATTTCTAGCCGGTGGTTTAACCGTCTAAATTAATTAGCACATGTTCGTGATACTTATTGGATGAGTTAGGCTTTTCTGACAGAAGGCTCTAGTTATATTGTGATACTGTGACATGCGTGGCTGTTGGGGTTTGATCAAAGGCTTTTCTAATAAAACTTGATATTGGCCAGTTAGTAGTTACATAGACTGAATGTGCGGTTTCAGGCAAACCAGTGCGGAGCTTTTAGTGGTTGGCTAGTGTTGACCCATTGTTACATTGTTTTTGTTTGTTTTGCTTGTGTTTTTTGTGGATAGCAGTACTCTTGATCTGTATGTTTTGTGGAGGTTTCATACAATTAGAAGCATGAGGACTGCTAAAGTTAAAGCAAGCTTGTGTGTTAGGTGGTCAGCTACTCGAGTTGCTCATTCGGGCGATTGTATGTCGATGCCTAATCGTAGGATGTTTGTTTGATGAGATTATGGGATACTTGTTTTGTAATCATATATTCATATTAATAGAAGGCTTTTTCATTGAAATGAAATTAAAAGTAGCAAATACTTTTAGTAAAAAGTATAAATTCTTGCCTTTTCTCTCCTAGACAACTCTGCTTGATGTTAGCAGCCTTTTCTCTCCTAGACAACTCTGCTAACATTTCTGGAGATAGATAGATTAAGAAAATGTTATATTTTCAAAATGCATTAATGTATGATAAGTGATTAACTAACAAAACCCCATCAGTTTGAGGCAGGCGGGGAAGATAGACGAACCATAACGGGAACCAACACCCTGACACCTGGCAGAGAATTCCAATGTTTCTCTAACGGTCATTTCGCCGATATGGAGATCATGTTGGCTAATATAAGAAGCTGTTCTCTGTGGCACGAACTCGTTTAGATCATGGCCATTGTACGTCACCTTCCCGCTCACCCGCAGGTCTTTATCGAGCTTTCCAGCCATTGCCAGCAGCAGCGTTGTCTTTCCGGAGCCCGGCGGCCCCAGCAGCAACGTCATCCTGGTTGTGACATTAAAAGATTCTTAATTAATAAGCCCAATTCAGGTAGTTAGTTTAATAACAGTGGGCTGGCCTGGTTTGTGCAGTCCAACTAACCTGCTGGGCTTCACGATCCCACTGACGTCATTGAGAATAGTGAATTTCCTCTTTTTGGTTTTGATTATGTGAACTGCGTTCAGCAAATCCTTTTACACAGTCAAGGAGAAAAAAACACATACTTAGTTTTAATTACAACAACAGTGATCAGCAGATAAAGGTATTGTTAAAAGTATTTGTCCCACACAGGAAAGTTATAAAACAATAAAACATTATATAAAACTTTGTATTACTCCTCCTATCAAGTTGACTTTTTAGGATGAAACCCCGGGTCTTAACATGGTATCCGAGTCAAGTCCGGTTGTGGTTTGACTGTTTGTTTAGCACTCATGATTAAGGGTATCTTGTTAAGGGTCTGTTTGACACATTTATACATCTCGATATTGTCCAGTCACCTTTTAGGATGAAACCCCGGGTCTTAACAAGTATATACATATATAGATATATATTTAAATTTTAATCCATACATGCATGCATATAATTATATAAAGGATTATAAATGTAAGATGTCCTAACAAATTAAAAGTTATACCACTCTTTTATACGAATTAATTCCACTTTTGGTCCTACGAGTTTTGTGTCATTTCCACCTTTAGTCCACGTCTTTCACTTTGTCCACTTTTGATACTTGACTAATGTTTTTTAACCATTTGTGGTCCTTTTCCGACGACTTTAACCATCGGAAACAATGCCGGAAGGACCATGTGTGGGCGAAAACACAATAGTCATGTATCAAAAGTGCACAAAGTGAAAGATGTGGTCTAAATATGGAATTGACCTAGAACTCGTAGGACCAAAAGTGGAATTTATTCCTTTTATACGCACTAGTACTTTCTAGTATTGATTTGATGGATAGTCTACCCGGGGGTATATATCCGAAGGGTTATTACGGGGAATAACTTAGAGAGAAGTCAGAGCAAACAAGTAAGAGAGAGAGTGTATTATAAATGTGGAGCGTTTTCAGCGTGGCTACAAATGGGGAAATGGGGGGCTATTTATAGTGGCAATAAATGCCGGGCAGGGACACGTGTCAAGCGCTCATTGGCCGAGGGGTCGCCTCAACTGGTTGGCGCTGGCAGCCGCATGTGGCCGCATTTAATGCGGCTGTTGGATGGGACGTCTGTGCAGAGTACGGTGATCTGTACGTATGTGAGGCGGATATCTTGTCGAGTGAGATGCCTTCGGCCATAGAGCAGTAGCCGAAGGCTCCTTCAACCGAGGGCACCTTGGTGCCGAGGGCTCACAGTACCGAGGGCTACTGTTTTCGCCGTTTTCCCCCAGTTTCTTAGTTTGCTTGAAAAACCTGTTCTGTGAGAATTTAGAGCCTTCGGCCGGGGGCCGAAGGCACCCCTGGCGCGTAGTGCGGGCTGCTTGGTATTCTGGGCGCTGTGATTTGGGCCTGTTGGACCTTTTGGGCCCGTTGGGCCTTTTGCTGGAGTAGTAGGAGTCTGTGGGCCGGGGGTTCTCGGGCCATATACTCCATCAGGAGTCCCTCACTCCTTTTGCCGAAAGGTACTTGAGGGAAAAGGAGTAATTTGTGCTTGCCCTTTGATGTTGTCCCGTTGTGATCTCTGAGGTTGGTGAGAAGTTGTTGCTTTTATGTCCCTGCCGAAGGCAGTCCCTCAGTTACCCACATGTCGGGACTTGAGGGCTTGCTTTGTTGTTTTTTGGAATTTGGAGCGTTTTGTAATTTAATGATTTTCCCGAAGGGGTCCTCCAGTCCCCCACTCCTTGAGGCACTTGTAAAGTGGTGGAAAGGAGTAAAGTAGTTACGTAGCCGTTGTGGGCCGAAGGCTGACACTTTTCGTTTCATTTCGGGGGGATGCCTCGTTAAAAACCTCATTAGGAAAAACCCTTTGGGAAAAAATCCTAATGAGGGAAAAAGAGTGCACCGAATTCCCCCAATGATGAATCGAAAATGTCAAACCTTGGTACAAAGTGGGGAATGCCGGGAATGCTGAAGGCTCTCTCCTCTGAGGGCTCCTGTGTTGATTAGCCGAAGGCTTGCTGTTGCTGTCCTGGTGGTGCCGAAGGGGAGCCCCTCAATCCAGGGATCGAGGGCCTGCCAGATGAGGGCAGCAGTGAAGTTGTTACCGGGGGGGTCCACTGTCTGTTGATGAGTTGGTGATGAAGATACCCGAGGGCTCCCATTACCTGTGTGCCATGGACCATCCGTCAGTGGGGCACTCCCCGGGGGCTACCCGGTTTTGCAGTGCTGAGGGGAAACCCCGAGGGGTGCCCTGATATGCAGCCCTAGGGATCTGAAGGGGTGATCCCGAAGGCGTGTGTAATGTACTGTGTGGGGCACAACCCGGGGGCACTGCTGGGTGAGTGCACCCGGAGGCTATCTTTGATGAAGTGGAGTGAAGTAGAAAACCCGGGGGCTTCCAAAATATAGTCGTTGGAAATATAGCCGTTGGAATATGTAACGACGGGATATAGCCGTTGGGGGGGGGCACACGTGGCGTGTGATGGCTGGCTGTCCGTGGGCGGCGTCACTGGTTGGGCGAAGACGCGGTGAGTAATGATGGCGTCCATCCGGAGGCCCGGAACCCAGGCCCAAGCCCGGATTCCAGCGCCTATAAATACCCCAAGGCCAGGCATTCCTCTGTGTGCGAAAAACTTGTTAGCGAA